CCCCCACCCCCCGCTCTGACCTCCTAGCCGCTTGGAGAGCCAGTGCTTAACAGCATCTTGACTGCGACATTTTCCTACCCGTTCTTTTCCATTTGAGTGGACTTGGAGTTTGTATGGGCGCTCCGAATCCTGATCAGTCCCTGTGGCTGTGAGTTACCTGTGACGGGTTCAGCCCATCAGGCGGGAGCGTAGAGAAAGGGGAAGGAGGCAGGCCTGGTGAGTGGTTGACTCCTATTTCCCTGAGGGACCACATCCCAGTCACAGTAGGAGTCCAGGTGCCCAAATCTTTGAGAAACCCCAGTGAAGTGGGGCTTCTGGAGAAGAGCAGCCCTGCAGGCCCACTCCCTCAGGCTGGGTCTTGGGAAATGGAGAAAAGGCTTTACCCTGCATGAACCAGCTCCTGGGTTTCCTGCTGGGGTAGGGAGGCCGGTGAGGAGAAGCAGAGTAGTGGATGGACACAGCATGTTCCTCCTAAACATCCCGGAACGTTCTCCACAAATCCTTCCGTTCTCTTCTAGGTACTGTCCACTTCCCACAGGAAGCTTTGCCAAGGCGCCCCTCCTCTGCCCAGCTGTAGAAAGTTAGGCACAGTATAGGTATTTCAGCAACACTGGTTTTACTGACCCAGAAGCAGTCACAAAGAGATTGTTGGGATGGTGTTGTGAGGGGATGGACGAGTGTCTGAGACTGGCCATGTCCACAAGTCACCACCAATCTGCTTGGGGAGACAAGATGTGTAGAGAGGAAGCTGCCGGTGAGCAGTGCAGGCAGTCTATGAGCAGCACTACACTGCGTGGGGTATAACTGCTGGCGGGGTACAAAGGAAGGAGCAGGAATGGAGGGGCCCATGAGCAAGGAGGAGGGACCGTGGACTAATGGACACACCAAGCCCCTGTTGCAGGTCTGTATTTGGTGTTTCAATTTGTTATTTATAAGATATATATCCAGATGTAACAAACTACTTGTGAAGTCATCTAAATTTTCTGGTAGCAAGACTGATGGTTCCAGAAGGGTCATATTCTGAAATGGTAAGTGTGTAAAGACCCCTGTTCCCTCAGAGGAGATTTGCACACTGATGTTTGCCTTGTTCCCAGCATGTGGGCCTCCATACTTCTCGTCATTCATGTATTGTTGTCTTTAGCCAGGAAATCCCTGTGGGTAGCTGAACTCCCTTCAGTGATTAGCTGCTTTGCATCCTTATTAATATTGTTAAAGGTGGATATCACAGAGACCACCACCCAAGGCTGGCCATACCTATGCCACTGAATTGTGAAAGGTCTGGAAAAAGTAATTGCCCTGAAACCCCATTTCTCTGAGTATTTTATTTGAACTATTTTATGTGGACTGACCTTGCTTAGGAGGATCCTGCTGTTAGTATTTCAGGAAATGATCTTGCATATTCACTTTAAGGAGAATGGGTAAGAACGTTTAGGTATAAAGAAACCAAAAGGAGATGACTAACTTTAATATACAAGCACAGATCCAGGCTTTCTCTGTTGGAAGACAGATTAAATCAGTGTCCTATAGTCAGTGTGAATAGAGAACATAATTGTTAGGATTTGAAAATCGAAAATGAATCTTATAACTTGGATGCAGGGAAGACTTACGGGATGTTTAGATGCCCCTGAGCTGACTATTTCCATCTCCAAAGGAGAAAGCCTAAGACTTGGAGGAACTGGGGTCAGCTTCTCTTTCCTTCCTTGATTTCCTCTGGAAAATCACTCCTGTGCTGGGCTTCAGGGAGCAGAACTCATCCTCTGACAGGGTCAAGTATACAAGCACCACAGAGCAAATGTTGAATTGTTTAGTTGACTTGAGTACACTCACAGAAATATTGTGAGGATTAAGGTGCAGATTTTTCTTAAATTATAAAATCTGCTTAGATCTTTTGTCAAAAGCTATTTGAAAATATAGTACTGTTTGTGAGCACAGATGTCACTCTTCATCCCTTTCCTTTAGGTAGAACATTTCTCAGTTCCCTCTGCTAAACAGATTCTAAGTTTCAAAGGATATTGACTAGTTTTCAGAGAGACATAAAATACCACCAGGAGTCAGGAAATCTTCTAGTATAAGCTACTTATTGACCAGAGAAAACACTGGTCCAGAGAGGTCAGCTGATATAAAGGAAACCAGTGTGAGTATTAGACTCAAGAAGACCCAGGACTGAATCCTAGCTGGGTTTCTTGTGAGGTTTGGAACCTTGGGCAAGTGACTTCACCTTCTTAGGCCTCTGTTTCATCATCCCTAAAACAGGATTAAAAATATTTACCTCATAGGACATTTTTATAAGAATTAAATGAAACAATTCTGTAAATAATTGCATTGATAGAATGATGCCTGGAGAAAAAAAATAAGACGGTAAATGGTAACTTGTTTATTATGTGTGTGTTACAGTGGAAGTGTATTTGTAGGGTACCTATTTGAGGTAGCTAACCACAATGTATTTATACACAGAGGTTAATAGAATCCATTTGTCTCTGATGATTCCCAACATTTCTGGGTATTTGAAATCCTTCCTACAGCAAGCACGCTAGTGACTCTAGCAGAGACACATTCTGGTGTCACAAAGATTAATCTCAGCTCATGGCTGTGACTTATCAGCTCATGAATGCAAAGTCCCATTGGGTGACCCACAGTCTGAGTAATCGCAGAGCTCTGGGTATCCATTAGAAAGCCACCTGACTAGTGGAATTTCAAGGAATTAGATAATGCTGAATATCCCAGTGACAGTCTCCAGAAGTGACACTATGCATTCTGTTTATCTGCAGGTGACCATCAGGGTCCTGGCCAAGTGCAGGGAACTGTGGATGTTTTGAAAGGCTGCTCACAAGCCCAGTATTCTGAGTTCAGTGTGGTTCACATACTGAAATAGGTGTTCAGTACATAATTTGCTGAATACAAATGAATGAATCTATGCCATTCAGTTATACCCCATTGCTTCCAGGATATTTATGTACAGTGACCATGATGATAAATAAATCCTTTCAGTGACATAAAACAAGGAAATACAATCTGATACAAATTATTCCTAGCTATGCTGTTCAAAAACCTCATCTGGCAAATAGGGACCAGTATTGACAATGATTAATTAGCCTATCTCTTTTCTGCTCATGACGGCATTATAATTGTAAATGATGCCCAGAAGCCGGAAAGTAAACTTCAAGAATTGTAAATGGAACCATGCCCGGCGTGGTCTGGGCATGCCAATGACAAAGCGTGCACGAGTGCACGCGCACACACGCAAAAATGAGAAATGTCTAGAAAAAATAGTGTATTTAGGTGAATGATACAGGTGGAAGATGATGGGGTGGGCCGGTGTCAACCAAATGAAGACATTACTGATGGGTGATTAACCTCCTGTGAGGGAGCAAAAAAAAAATTTCCTACTCTGTCATTCTGCTCGCCAAGAGATAAGGCCAGAATGTTGAGCGGCAGCTCTTACCAGGGGAGAGAATTCAGAAGTCAGCACTGTCCACTGTGCAGTGAGGTTATATCGTATGAAATATCACTTCCTTGACTGTGCAGACCTCCTCCATCCACCCTTCCCGGGCCTGCTTCAGCCACGCCAACTTCAAGGAGCCTTTCTCTGAGTCCAGCCCAGTTACATCTCATGGCTTCTGACCCTGACCTTCTATCAGTCAGTTTCCTTATAGGGCAACTGACCATGAAGGGCCTTCATACAAACCTTCTATTGTCACCCTGCCTGAACTTATATTCTTCTCTGGTAATAGGATTTAATTTTTCATGTGTTTACGTATTACCTTGCCAACCAGAGAGATAAGCTTGGGGGGCAGGAACTGTGTGTAGTTTTCACCTTTGTATCCCTCCCCCCTCTCCCTCACCAACACGTCACACTAGGCCAGGCAGATTGTAGCTAAGGAGTAAATAAGTGATTATAATGTGAGATGGTCTTTGTGAGACAGGTTTTTTTCACACATGCACTTTATTTTTACATTTGCATGCCACTGCATATGTTTCTATCTTAATTTACAATGTATGGTGAATTTAAATCATGAGAGACAGGCAGGGTCTATGAACTAGGATCATGGGACAGTTTCTGAGACTCTCAGCGTAAGTCCCTCATCTGTGATGGGCGGACAGGACTAGATGACCTTTTAGGCCCATTCCAGCTCTGACTACTTTGATTCTATGAAGACTTTGGAACTTAAAAAAACAGTGCGTAAATTATCCTGGTTTCAAACCTCATTGTGATTAAGAGCTGTGGCTGAAGATTCAGAATCATTAAGCAGAATGGATTATCTGGGAGGCCAACTACCTCTACAAAGACCTGTGCTCATACTGCCTAAGAAATATAACCCTTCACCCACTTTCGATAGATTTCCAAATAAGGAGAGGATATGTCCTCCTGGAGGTACTGGGGAACTTCAGGAAGTTCTTCCTCATGTCTGGCTTTAACCTTCACCCTTTCCTTGACCTCTAAGCTTCCTTAGATATACCTTAGCTTTTCCTTTGAAAGGCTTTTT